TCTGGTTCCGAAACGAGATACGCCTGAGAGACTTGAGATAAACAAACGGTAATGTCGTGTCTCTCCTCGAGAGTTAATAGAGACTAGAACGCGATCAACGGCCGATGCGATACGTGGCTATCGATCTTGCCAATCGACGACGCGTAAGTGCCTAAAAATTCATTTCGTTACGCGCCAATAGCCGATTTCGCAAGATCTTCTCGAAACGAAGAACTCCTTATTCCACGGTGGGATCATCGGTGCATCGATGTGTTATTTCTATCGATGACAGTTTTGCTTGGAAAGAGAGAATTTGGAGAATGTAAGTGAAATATCGACCTGTAGGTAAAGTAGATCCGTTGTTTTTTAGTCTAGCACTTTGCCATATTTTCCGCATTTGAAGTGAACCAATTAGATATTTATTAGATATTAATTTGATATTGAAAAGTGTTTCTTTTTCCAATTAAAATCCACTCTAAACCACTTAGTGGTGCTTCGATATTTGCTAGAACTTTTTATTCGCTCAATCTCGCCTTTCCCCACTTTTATTTCTTTCTTGTCATATAAAAGGAATATAGTCTGGAGATGATTTGTGGACAATTTCCTAAGTTATCACGATCGAAACTGAGAACGAGAGAATTCCAGAGACGTGTCTCATTCACGGAGCAAGCCAGCTTTGACCAGACGATATTCAATTTTCTCCATTTTATTTTATTTTATTCAAAAATAATTGGGCAATAAAAAATTTAGCACTTAGATCCGGACGAGATTGTGAAAGAGATTTGAATATTTAAATATATTTTACAATATGCTGTTAAAAAACAATATTGAGAAAGAATTTCTCCTGCCTTGAACGTTTGATGTGTGTTCGTCGTGTTTCGAAATTTTTGTGTATCCCCCCATGCTATATATAAATGCAACTTATATGAGCTATAAAACCGCGGGATGTGGTCGAGATCACGCGTCTGTTATCTCATCTAATCGTACTTCGTATCCCCCCCTTACTTTGACGTTAGTGTAAAGCACGAAAAAGTAGTGACATCCGTTCGAACGTACATGAAAGGACCTTTGCAAAAAGAGTCGATTTTTTGTCTGTTTTTCGATCATCGATTTTGTAATCGAATTTTATGCCAAAAGATAGTCCATGATGGTCGACATTAATTACAGAAAAGTTTTACGTTGAGCATACGATTGGTTTCAAAGATGTAGAGAGTCAAAGTGGTCACTACCTACTCAAAGTATGATACTAATAACGCTTTATCGCACGAATTTTTGCAAAATTCGATATCTATGGGTTCTTTGAGTTGCTGATTATGAATCTGATGTCAGATTTAAAAAATCCAAAATGGCAAGTAGTAATTTTCTATTAGGTTTTCGAAAATAATTTTTTCCACGGTAATTTTTGTGTGGAAGAAGTACTTTTTTCTAATTGTTTTTCCATAAAAAAAGTATCAAATTCAAATTGATACGTTACGTGACTCATAAAGGATAACGTGACAGTTTTATTTGTTATATTCAGAAGCTTTTTCATTGCAGTAAATGCAGTAAAGGTAAATGTGTATCTGATAGAAAATTCGCGATCGGCTAGCCGAAAAAAAACCACAATATAACAGTTCTAATAAAAGTAAATAATTGTTTCATTATTTGTGTCCGCTATATTACATCCGCCAACTTGCATTTTTTAAATCCGACATCGAATTCGTAATAAGCAACTCAAAGAACCCATAGATACTGAATTTCGCACAAATTCGTGCGATGAAACGTTATGAGTGTCCCAAATTTCCTTAGTAGGTAGTGACCACTTTGACCCTCTATATCTCCGAAACCAATCGTATGCTCAATGTAAAACTTGTTTGTGATTAATGTCTTATCATGAGCTATCATTTTCGTATAAAATTTAATTTAAAAATCGGGGACTGAAAAACGGGCATATTTTGCGGAGGTTTGTCTTTGGATTCTCTTGACAGCCTTACGACCAATATGCCTTTACCGAGGCGAAGCACAACACCTGCGCACGTTGTCGGGAAATGCTCGAATGCGAGCATCTGCTCTAACGCGATCTACTAGCCCATTTCCAGCTGCGCTATGTGTCCCGGAAGCTCACCTCGATTAATTATAGATTATGACGGGATGACGCAACTGAAAAGTCCACCCCATTTATCCATCCCTTACCTGACGACGAATTAAACGGTGAAGGGAGAATATGGAATGACCGTATTCTCTGCTGTTAACAAGCAAGCCGGAATGTAATTTGAGGAAAAAGATCATCTTTGAAATGTTTACAAATGGATACTCTTCGGACGCGCGCTTACCGCGTGATGTTTTATAAATTATAGAAACAATGATAACTTTTTTGTAATAATCTAGTTGTTGACATGTTTTAAAATAACGAACAGTTTCAAAAGCGTACGAGTCTCTATAAGTCGTTTGCAACGAGCTTCGAAGTCGAGGATATTCGAAGGGAGATTTGCGTTCCAAATGCTATATTAAATAGCGCGTAGAAGAGATGCATAAAAAAAATGCGTAGAAGATAATGCAGTTGGCCTTAGCCCCAAGGCTGCACTTTGAGAACACTTGTCTCGCATTTCGTTGCGAATCGCTCGGAGATGAAAGGATGAAACGGGACAGCTGCTTTCTGTACGCTTGTTTATTGTCACGAAGAATCCAAAAGATATCGTTTTCGTTGATGTACAGAAATCCGTTGTAACGCGATACGACATAATTCCTATAATTGCACGATATAAAACTGCCATTTCCATCACGATGAAATACGCGACTATTGTTTCAAAAAGTTTCAACTTCGCGTGGCCACAATGTGTGCCCACGAATATTGGCCCAAAACTGTCCTCGAAATTGCATAGATGATTATGATTACTTTCATCCACTCTCGTCGCGTGCATCACCAACACTGCGTAGTTCCTCCCACCATCCTCGCGACATCCTCGCGAAATTTTGCAAAACTAACTCTCTATCTTCGCAAAAAGGGGATACTTTTTCAAAGTATCGCGCGACCGCACCGGACCGCGACGGAAGACGCGAATAAAGACAAAACCGCTGTTGTGCGTGGAGGTGAGGTGGAGCGGTAGGGGGTGAAAAAGACCTCGGTATGAAAAGCGAGCACGAGTGAGACTAGAACGAGGAAGGTTACGGCGGGAAGGGGAAGGGAGAACAGAGATAGACACGTTGGCAATTTGTACCTAGCACAGAGAGAACAGCCGATATCTAGTATCCTGTCGTGTTATTACGCTCGAGGGATCCCGAGTAAGAGGGAAACGGGGTCCGGAGATGACTGACGCGACACGGGGGCGGGCAGGACGACGAAGAGGTGAGGAAGAAGTGGAGGGGGCGGAGGGGCGAGGGGGGGATATAAGGTGTAGACTTACTTTGGACTCTGTGGTGTGGGATTACCGTACTTATATTCAGCTCTAATATTAAGTTACCACTTTGCTTTACGGCAAGTGAACAGGCCGCCTGCATATAGGAAGCCATCCGAGAGCTCCTGGGACAGTCTGTCCCGCCTGTCTGGGCCCACCTACGAATTACACAAGGTTCGTTCGTTCGTTCGTTCGCTCGCTCGCTCGCTCGCTCGTCGGCTCGGGGAAAGTCCTGCGTGTACCCCAGTCACGTTGTTCCCCCTCGAAACATTGGCGAGCGCGAGTTTTCTCGATCAATGGCGGTCCCGTCATTCGGAAGGGCCGAGGAAGGGTGCTGGTTTTTGGGACAGTCTGGCCTTCGTGTGTTCACGTGTAGACTCATCTAAAATCGCGTGTTCGTTCTTCGTGTGATACTCCGAGACTCCGACGACGACTCTGGCGTCACTCTCTTCTCTGATCGACTGAAATTGCGTTGCCTTCTGGACGAGGTACGTGGTAATTGGATCCAAGAACGTGTCCAAGAACGTGTTTCCGAGTCGATTCCCAATTCTTGAAATCAGTGATGGATTCGGAAGACTCCTTTTCGCAAACAGCGCAATTTATTTTCACTTGTACGTGCGTGCGCAATTTTGACACTATTAGACACATTAAAATGACGAAAAGCAGCCGAAAGAAAGTCGAGTACGGAACTTTGTATACCAAGTCTTGGTACCCTGAAGTCTGAAAATTTGCCACTTCGGGGGAGGAGGGGTTAATTTATCGATTTCTTTGGATTCCATCGCCGTTTATCATAGTTCGCGCGGATCCTTGACCTTTCGGTGGCGGCTACGTCTTGTGAGGCTTCACGGTAATCCCGCTTTAAAGTTTTCCGTCAGTTTGCGGCGCGCAGAAAGCGACCAGATGGGAATGAAGCCTCCGGATTCAGAAATCGGAATTTCGCACGAGTGTGTCCAGCGAGTGTGCGATTTACTCTTCACATTCGCCGAAATTATAATGACTCCAGATCGCAGCTCGCTGCGCGATGGGTTCTCATTGATCGTCGAGAAGCTCGACGGATTTTTTCGCTCGTCGACGTTATGTAAACGCTTCTCTTACCCTTCTTGCATGGAACGTCATTATTACGTAAAAAGTATGCGCGTGCTCGAAATGCACACAGTCAACACGCGACTTGGATCTTTTACACGAATAACATATTTTTACCGGTTTCCGTGTGCAGGATCTCAGCAGTCGCACTTTTCCTACGAGTCAGGGAGACGTAAGAAACAAAAGGGAAGAGTTATTCTATTTTCGTCGTTTGCACGGAAAAAACTCACTTTGGATAAACAATTTTCTATTGTCTGGAGGGAGAACAAACATTTATTATTAACTTATTCTTAAGAAACTTTCAATTGTGTCGAAGTGTCGCATGTAAGAAGATAGAGGTACTGACTTCTGTGCGTGCTGGGGTATGTGCTGGACTTCCTAGCACCATTCGAAATCAGTACTACTCTTCTTAGCATTCAGCAATTTGTCGGAGGAAGGAAGGAGGAACTTTAATGTTTAATACTTTCTCGTATTAAACGCGTGGAATGATCTTATATACCAGGAATCGGGAAATCGAGCGGAAGTTGATTCCAATGCGTGAAAATAATATAACGTTTCCTTTAATTCTTCTCGTATGTCTCGTATATATCCTTTCGTTTATCTTTACAGCTTCGACTCTTCGACCGATATAAAGACGCAATTATATACTATTTATATTAATGCAATGCTGTATCTGTCTTATTAAATTACACAATCATCTCACCAGCTCTCTCTCTCTCTCTCTCTCTCTCTCTCTCTCTCTCTCTCTCTCTCTCTCTCTCTCGTCTCATTCACGAAGATTCCTCGGTAATGATTGTTATAATGTGTGTTATAGAATCGTACGTCTATGTAAATATCGTTACGTACATATATGTATACATAGTATAAACTTATTAAACTTATCAAGCTTTGCGAGGAAGTGTGAAGTATCATAATAAATAATTTTATATTCGTACGCAACTTTCGGGACTATATAATAATGACTGGCGATGACGTCGTATAGTATACTTATATACAATATCAAATTTACGCCTACGGTACACTCACCGTACAAGATACAGCGCGCAGACCAGTCTTCCTGATGCCTTCTTGCATGCGTGTTTCTGACGAAAAAGCGACGACAACGAGCATCGAGTTGAAAAGCGAGAAGATCAAGGACACTTGATACCCTCCTTGCGCAACGTACGGCGGTACATGTCAATTAAAGCAAAATGTCTACGAAGGAGGGAAAAAGCACACAAGTCTATATAATATTGTCAATTTTACAGGGAGAAACATCTTTGCAGAATATAGAGGATGAAAAGAGAAGGAGAGATAAGTCAATTTGGATCGAACTCATGGAAATACCAAGTTCTTACTTGAATTAATTTGATGTTATTTATTTAAAGACCAATTTGAGAGTCCAGGAAAACAACATTTAAACCGGACACAGCTTGACATTCTTTCTCTTCTTTGACTTTCATCTTGTATTCTTTTTCCCAGCGTGTACTTTCAACGATATATTGACGAGTCCGCTACAACGTGACTTTGCTTTACGAACTCGACCAGAAATCGATGCAACAAATCCGCAATTGCTGACCCCAGAGAGACCTCCGTTCGTCTGATAACTCAGTTCAAAATTCTCAATGTTTCTCTATTCTCTGTTCTGGCTTCTGGCTCGATGCGACTCGTTCAAAATACGGGCGCGTATTCTCGGTTATCTCTTATCGATAATGACTTATCACTAGTGCGTAATTAACAAGCGAGACTGGAACGTTTTCACCCGAACGGGTTGCGACGAGCGTCGAGCGACAAACGAAGACGAGAATAACGACGACGATGACGACGACGACAAGATTCCTGGCGAGTCTGCCGGGTGGTTAGGTGGATTCCTTGCTTCGACTGGTCGCCTGAAGCCTCGTCCAGGTTTCACCGAGCGCTTTCGCGAAGTGAGCGTCAACTGTGCAAAGAACGCGTGAGGACAACTCATCCAAGACCAGGATCTCCAAACTGCAGCGCTTTTGCTCTATTCTCCGCATGCTTAGATGACGGATACCAATTTTCAACGTTTATGTATGTCGTACTTACCGCTCAGGACAGTCTCTTTGTCGGTGGTAGTCGCGTTGAAGACGGCCGCGTACTCCTCCAGGCCCAAAGACCGCTTGAAATGCTCGTCGATTGCTGGGTCGCTATCTGCATCTACGTTTCTGATGCCGGTCCTTCGCCCTCCTGCAGCCGCCGCAGTCGGGGTCGCCGTTGGGGTAGGCGTCACAGCCGTGTCTTCCATCGTAGTGCCTGGAGAGACATCGAAAATCGGAAAGGATGATTGAGAGAATAATATTAAAACGTTAAATACGTTAAATTATGTAAGTTAAATTATTTTTGTCTTTTGTAATCTGCAAATATTTCAAAAAGGAGCCTACATATAATTTGTTGATATATTAACATACACATTAAAATATATATCGAGTAGAGAGAGATACATGTATAAATTATATCATATGTATTACATCGATATATTTTGTCGATAATTTTTGTCATTTAAATATAAATGATGTATTATTTCTCTAATAACACAAAATAATAAAACAAAATCTACCCCTACAGTAAATATTCATCGTCGTCACGATTTAGGAAATTTAGGTGCCCGTCATCGCGTTAATTCCGTCCATGACTAATGCGAGGATTTATGTTTCAGGAAAGCCTGTAAACACGTAGGAATACCGCGGCATTGTTGGGATTAACCGTATTTCTATTGAAAGTAGCATCTGCATCTGCACCCTGGTGCAGCGCGGTGCATTGTCATCGAACGTACCCCTGAAAGACCGCGGACAATGGGGTCTCGGGACACGACGCCTAACAACTCGACCGTCGGGTCGACAACCGTTGTTAGATAGGGTTCGGTAAAAAATGCTAAAATTATCGGGCAAAACTGGAAGGCTTCGGTTTTATTGGTATAAAATTTATTCTACATCTTTCCTAGTAGTCTCTGTCGAATTGTAAGTAGTTCTCCTAACGAAAGATCGACATTATCATTTTGGAATTTTGGAATTCTTTACATGAACGTATCGCTGGATAGATTTCTCAATTAAGATTTCATTAACGCAAATTATATTTCAAATTCAACGAAGAAGAATTTATTGATATTTCTCGCAGTATATTTGTGAGTCGCACATCAAGTTGACAATTGAGATTTCGTCTTAATTTTCGCCTCGTCTTAGATGACCAAATTCAAGGTCCGCTCTTTTATCTTGTATCACGTCTCTTGGAATTTTACAATCCAGCATGAAAGCCTGAAGTTCACTCCCAACATTAATATTCCCCATCTTCCACTGCTCGAAAATGTTCGAATCTAACATGAAATTTTTACGTTTTTTTGTTTAGCTTGAAACTTTCCGATCTCTCCGACATCCTGAGTGCTTACCGGCTTGCGGAGTGGTGGGAACGATCACACTTGGTCTGCTGTGGTGCACACGTGCCGCCGACATATCCAGCGCTTCGCTCTGGATCGGGTCTCTCCTGCGTTCCTTGCGCCACGCGCTGCTCGGTTTCCGATGTAGATTCGTCGTCTTTGGTCTCCCCTCTGCAACACACAACAATGCTACAAATGACACTGTGAACGAAGAGACAAAATTTATACGTTGTGTCACAGCCTTAACTGACGACGTTATAATTAACCCTTTAACGCCTGATTTTTTTTATAAGTGTTTTAAATAAAATTTGAATTTTTTTTAACTGAGACTATAAGTAGTGATAACCAAAAAAATATCAGAATTTCATACTGATTTTTTTTTATCGTTCGTTTTTTGTTTATTGGTAAATATGATTTGGATCCTAAAACCATGTATGAAATGAGCAACCTATATAGAGAAAAATGAAGGATAATCTATACGACATAACTCTGATAGTCAACTTGACATTTTTGAGCTGAAACTTTACTATATTTGTGAGTGAAGTTTATCATTCAGAGCGTCAAGTTTACTATTTCAGAAGAATATCTTATAGATCATCATTTAGATAGTCAATCGTCCCTTCATTTTTCGCCGCAAAAAAAAAAAACTGTAGGTCACCAGGTTTCACGAAAATAGGTTGATTTCTTGATTTTTGTGCCTACCATATCGAATTCGCCATTTCGAATTTCTGTATTCTTTTATTTATTTTTAATTTCACATTTAATTTCACATTTTGCATCTGAGAAAGCTTCCAAATGTATAAAATTATAACAGATACCAATCTATTAATTTATAATGCACTTCTAGATGTCAGTAACAATGCTAACTATCGTCTACTTGGAATTTAACAAAACATGTTATCATTAAAATTAAGCTAAAAACAGACTAAACCGAATCTACATACAATGTATATACCATTTTTTAGAAGAAGAATTCACCTTTACAGTGGTGCAAAGAAAACGAATCTCCTCTTTTGACTAAGTTATGGATTCTTAAATGCGTTTCTGGTAACTATAGTTATCAGTAGGCGTTAAAGGGTTAAATTATATTTTGCACATAGTATGAGTGATCAGTGATGTAATCGTATATGCGAATAATATGTTTCCTTGGGAAAGCTCTCTTTCTCTGGACTTTTCTGAGAGAATTGTTTCACACGCGTCTCGGAGAAAGCGATTTTGTGACATGTGACATGTGATACTCTCGATTTTTATATTTCCGACGCGACGTGCCAGCTATATAACGGCCCAGCGGAATACCAGCGAGATAATTCGTAGCAGGAGGTTCTGTTCGCATCGTGAGATAACTCGCGGGGATGATATAGACAGAGGAGCAGAGGTGCGTGTTAGAACGCAGAAAAAGCGCCGGCACGTTTTTCCTCACGACGATACCCGACGTTTTTGTCGAGCAACGAGACGGAAGAATGTAACGCGCGTGGAACGCCGGCTGGCCGGCATTATTCCAAGTCGGGGGTCAAAGCGATGGCAAGGAGAAGGCAGAATGTGAGATACGAATTCCACGTATGTCCTTGCGAGCTGCGCTATCGACTGGAGTCTATGAAAACGCGACGGTCACCTATTTCCACGCGGCGAGATATCTAAAATTAGAAAACTATCCAACGCGACAACCCTTCGTCATGATCGGGAGACACCGAGGACGAGGAGAAGGAAGACGAGGTGGACGAAGGATGAAGGAGAGCGATAAAAACGGGTTCGGTTCCCAGGATGGGCAGGAAGTGCCTAATAGCCGTGAGAGGATCGTCAGGAAGACGGCGAAACTGGTTTAGAGACGCGTAGAGCAGGTAAAAGATGAATGGACCGCGCAGGAGGAGGAGGAGGATGATCGGGAGGGTTTCCTCGAGAGTCGATTAATTTCTCGATATGTCTCGTTGATAAGGACAACCGTATCCGTTGATAAGGACGAGCGTATATGACCTTCTTTTCCTTTATTATCACAGTCACGGAGCAGCTGCGACTGCCTGACGTTTCCGGCGGTCGGACGATCGCACACAGGAAGGCTCAGAATTCCTTTCGGTTCAAAGCTTAAAATTTTACGAAAGATACGCAAAGTAATCTCATACTCATTCGTGTATTTCTTGCCTGCCGCGGATGCGACACGGCAACGGGTGCGCTATCGTTACAAAAAGTGTCAATTGAAACATCAATCGTCAATTGATTTCTCCTGTATTTTTCTTATTTCTACATGCGATCTACCGTAAGATCGCACCCGATACATCGCGACGAGGGAATAGTTTTTAATCCGTCGCCGAAATCGACGGATTCCGATCCTAATTAATCTTCTACTGCGCTCTGCTGTGAAACATACCTTCCGGTTTGCGAGCCAATCGAAGGATATCGGCATTGAGCCACGGTTGCCAGAGACCTCGTCTCCTGGTCGAGATCTCCATGTTGTCGGGACTTCGGGAACATCAATCGCGAAAGTCAAAGCACGGAATCACCACCTCTCAGAGATCGGAGCGACTGTTTGCGTCGGGAATTTATTTTTTTATTGTCCTATGAAGGCACTGTGTTTCTGTTCCGGTCGAGAATTCAGTCTATCATCTCTCGTATTCGTCCCAGCTGCCTTCCATGAGATTACGGTAATTCATAGTCATTTTGCCGATAAGCTTTATCGTGAGTTCTCTCGGTGAGTTCAATTCTGGGCATAAACACATGGGCGACGCACAATTGTGACACGCGCGGCAGACAAACGCAATGACGTGCGCCTGTCAAATTCTAAGATCGAAGTTGACACTTTGACCGGGTGCAAAGCGAGTGGTCTTCATCAATGATGACGTTCGCTTTCGAAGGCAATCGTGCGCGCGCACCAAGTATTTCGGTATTTCGCGAGATCTCTTGGAAGACAAGTATCAGCGGTGCACCGTCGCGCTCTCTCACGAAAATCTTGATCGAAGCTTCCTCCTCAATGACACGACGTACGTCAATCATTTGGGTTGACGGTGCGAAGAATGAACGAACGATCACTGCTCGATCATCCTGTTCTCGAGAAAAAAAGAAGCGGACAACTCTCTCCGACAGCCGTCTCGCAATTTCTCGTCTCTTTCTCTCTTCCTCTCTTATCCTCGGTGATTTGCATTACTTCACGATCACACAGTACCACGGTATACTCCTGCGACAACCACCGGAACCGTCCACAGGTCGCGATTCACACACTCTTGAGATCCGCTCACGAGAGAGCGGAGTCGGGCTGACCGCGTTAACGATCACAAAGTCGGCAAGCGGCGCCAAAGTGATTGAGACAAGAAAGCCGGGAGAAACCGCAAACGGTGAAGAAAGAGACCGGCGAGCGAGGAAAACGGCGAATTCGACGGCGACGATGAGCTTCTCTCTCGCGAGACACGAACGATGGAAACGGCGAAAGATATGGAAAGCGGACCGAGAGAGTAATACGCGCATACACGCACAACAAGAGAAAAAGAGAGAGAGAGAGAGAGAGAGAGAAATGGCAACGACGGAGGTGCACAATCGAGAATCGCAATTGTGTGTATGCACACAATGCGCAGGAGGAGAAGGACGACGAGCGACGGCGACGTTGAAGCCGCGATCTTCAAAAAGCGCGTCTCAAAGGCGTCGTCGTGGTTTCGTGAATGCGCCTCTCACGACTGTCTTAAGATTCATTCATTCATCCGCCTCGGCTCATCGTCCGCCTCCCCCCTCCCCGTCTTCCACGTGGAGCCGACGGAGGTTGCCTTTTACACACGCACACCGCTTTGCGGCACACGTGCGCACACATCATGCGATATCTGCACGGACACGCCGCGGATTAAGTATGTATTTATAAGGTGGATACTAAGCGCACACGGCTCAAAGCCAACTCCTCGTCTCCTTTCTCGCTTTCTCCCTGTCTCGTCCTCCCGCTCTTTTTCGCAGGTAGACGGGATATATAGGGTGTGTCGAGATTAAAGGTGCAAATCCCTCGTAACCACTCGACGAGCCGATAAAATGATAAAAACGCCCGGCGAACGTGGCCGTCGACGTCTGCTGCTCTCGAGAGCGCTTTTCCAAGCGGGCGGACAAATGCAGAAACACGCGCCTGCCGATGCGACGTGATTATCCCGCGCCAGTAGTAATGCACGTACGCATGCGGGGGAAAACATGGGAGGAGAAAAACACGCGCGGTCGTATTCACGACGTGGCGAAATGAAACGCGCCGTCGTCGGAGCGCGCTCGTCGAGTGACTGAAATTCGCCGGATCGTTTGATGTATTCGTCGCTCGGAACGACGCGTATACGGAAGAGCGAAAGACGCTTCTTTGCGCGACCCTGTACATGCATGGATACGCCCGATGCACCCGGTGCATCGATGCGATGCACGCGCGAGTGCCTCGTCGGTGCGACTGATAGCGCGGCGAAATGTTTATTTTAACTTTTTCGATATTCATGTGCCGTGTATCGCACATCAAGTACCACTGACTCTCTCTCTCTCTCCCTCTCCACCTCCGCTCGAATGTTCTTGCATAAAAGATACTATTTCTTATCATGCCAATATCTTCCTCCTTTACCGTGCAGTACTTGATCGCATAAAATTCCTCGAAAAACATCTCAGACTATCTGATAAGCCGATAAGTGAAGATTAAACAGATAAAGCGAGAGTAAAAAATATCCCACAAAGACTAAACTATTATTAGCTTATTTCTATTAAGTGTTCGGACAAAAATTCTCAAGATATGATAGGCTATCGTGTCGCAACGCTTGTTCGTGTTTTCTTATACGAATTCTGATTAAAGTCGTTCCATCGGAATTGATTGTCCGAGGAAGGATTGCAAGTTGGCAAGTTGCGCGCGGTGTCGACGTTGTGCGAATTTTGCCTCGAGCAGCCGTAACATCGAAGGCCGAATTTGCGGTTTGTCCAAAGCGGAGCAGGAATGAAATGCGCGCGAGTGAAATGCATCGGAGCGCGGAGGACGTCGCGTGGAAGAAGAAAAATTCGAGATCAGCAAATGCATTCGCGCGACTCGCATGTAGCCGAACACGTGTACTCAATCCGCGCTACGTAGAATCGCGACTGTAAGCGATGACTACGCGGAAGCCGTTGTGACACCTCGAGCTAGCGAGCTCAAATAAGATTAGGGTTCGTTTAAGTACAATGTTTCGTAGCGATAATAGCGAGCCGATAATATCACTTTGCTGCGTTAAATTGTCAATTCGACGAAACGAAAACGACGAATGTCGTTGTATACCTTCAAGCTGGAAGGCAGAAAATTTAATCACAGATTACAACTGTCTTTTCATGAGACACTTTTATGGACAATTTTTTTTATAAACAAATTTAACGAGAAGTGATATGTACTGAATCAAATTATGATTTAAGACTTAAAAAAATTGGAGCTTGTCGTGAAGCTATGGTTGCCTGATGGTTGCTAATGCTTCGAACTTCTCCAGCTAAGGGCACATCTTTGAGAAACTGAAATTTTCGTAGCTGAAACGCACCCGTCCGCTTTCGAGCACGTTGTTTCAGCAATCGTGCAAAAGCGCTCGCGGATCAATCTGCGAGGAGGATTTCGTAAGACGCGAGTGGTTGAATGAATACAAAGCGAAGAATGCGATTGCTCATTGGCACGTGTGCGCGCGCGCGCGCGCGATCGATCCTGTGTAAAAAGACGATTGCGTGGATATCCCCGGCGGATTGTGGCGGTGTGTTATGATTGCGAATTTATGTCAGGTAATGGCACATTGCATTACGACTCGCGGCACCTGCGATAATAATAGCGATTCCTGTGGCAATCACAACCTGCAGCTTGCATACGAACGAGCCTGGTTAACACTTGCAAGCACGCGCACGAAATATAAAATGACTATTAGATGAATTATACGCGGAATGTCTGTGGAATGTCAAGCGGTCGTCGTGATTTCTGAATTCCTTGCATTCCACGCGTGCTCGATCGCATTACGTTTCATCGTCAAACTCTGTTCTCAATAGCGATATCGCATATCGTGTGATTCGAAATTCTTCTGGAGAACCAAAAGGAAAAAATCATGGAAGCTGTTGGGGAAAATAGTCCGCGAAGAACAGTTCAGATTTGAGAAATTATCACGGTATCACAGAAGATACGGAAAAGAACTTTAGTGAACAATGATATGACTCGATCAATTCAATTAAATCAACGATTGTTATTTTTTAACTTCAATTGTTTATTTTTCTTATTCTTCAAAGATATGCATGCTCGGTCGGATGTTTCGCTTCATGATAAGTATATCATATTCTAAAACAGTTAGAGAGAGAGAGAGAGAGAGAGAGAGAGAGAGAGAGAGAGAGAGAGAGAAAGAGAGAGAGAAAGAGACAATAGAATTTCTCTGAGGAGATTTTAATGTAAAAATTAAGATACATGAGAAGAATGTGGAATATGTTTAGGTGTTATCAGCGATAACTTAGCAGTAAGTGTTGGAATATATAACTCCAAAATTTTCACAAGACAATATGATCCTAAATGGAACGATACGCGTTCGTCTTTATGATTATGCATCGCAGGCACACAGAATTAATGCGAGACGGAACGAATTTCAAAGAGTCACCGTAACAACCGAGGATAGGTAGCTTGGAAAAGAGGACACGTCCTCGGGACGACTGCGCGTTCGATTATCCTTAAGATTCGCGCGAGTCGCGAGGAATTTCAATGGTATAAACTGACCTTGCACCATCGTCGCCGCTCTGGAGAGGACGTCCAAGGCACTCTCGACAGCGGACATATCCTCCCTCTTCTGCTAGTTCTCTCTGCTGAAACTTCTTCCTCCTGCCTTTCCCTATTCGTCTCTCGTCCTCCTCCTCCTCCTCCTCCTCTTCTTCCTTCCCTTTCTTTTTCTCTCCGCTGTTAGTCTCTTTTTCGCCACCCTCGCGTGAGGTTTGCGCACACCCTGAAGAGCGGCCTCCTCGTGCGTGCTTTTGCTACCTTTGTCGTCCTCGCGACAAGGATACGTCGTCCTTGGCCTGGCTGCGGTCCGTTGCCGCGAAAGGAAGCGCTCTATAGGAACAGAAGTCAAACTTTAACTGTTTGGGCCTTCCTCGCGGCCGAAGGCGGCGCAAATAAAGTAAAACGGGGATTAAAAAACGTGACATTGTCTGTGGAATGCGGACCCCTCACCGTCAAACCCCCCTCTCGCAGGCTTCCCGCCCCCACGACGCGGTTCAGAAGCCCCCTTCTTCCCCCTTGTTGCTCTCGCGAGGCCTCTTCTTGCGCCACGTATCTAGCGACAGGACCGACGCGTTCGCGTGAGCTATGTTATTACCGAATCAAATGCCAGTCGCTTTAAATAGATGCAGCATCGCTACAATACCGCAACAATCCTTAATAGCCTTTACGAGGAATTTAAAGCCGACTCTTCCTTCGAGAGGAATGCCGAGAAATCGGTAATTTTGAAGTTACAAACACAGGCTTGAACTAAACTGGCTTCTGTTTTTATTAAGCTTCAGAGATATAAATGAGTAAAATTATATATTATTTCTCGCTTGGTTTATGAAATCAACTTTGTCTAAAAAAAGAAAAGAAAAAAAAATCACATAATCTCTAAAGCTTTCAATATCAATATTTAAAAAGTCACAACGGATATATGACGATCTCTCTCTCTCTCTCTCTCTCTCTCTCTCTCTCTCTCTCTCTCTCTCTCTCTCTCTCTCTTTCTCCTTGTCTTTACTTTCTCTTTATTTTTGATCGAGAATCTATTGAACGTATTTATGAAATTTGTCAAAAAAGAAAAAAGGCGTTAACAAAGAAACGAGACTTAAAACGGTCGCTTTCCGTTCTCGCCGCGATAATAAAAAAAGAAAATTTTTTCGTATCAATGTGAGTTCGTTCGAACCCATCGCTACTTTTGTCGCGGCCTCTCTCATTCCTTCTCGTCCTCCTCGCGTGCTTTTCCCACCTCTCACAACACTACCGTACGCTCGACATCACGATTTCATCGTAACAATATAAACAACCTTCTGCCCATCTCCCTTCCGCACCACGCGCTTCTCTTTCCGGTATTTTGGCTTTTCCCTCGCTCGTTCGGGAGAGAAATTTTGGCAAATTTTGCGGTATGCAATGAATATGGAGCGATTTCATTTTCTCCTGTAAAGAATCTGACTGTTTTGCTCTCATTAATATTAATTTCGGGATATAATTTAGATCTCGCGACATTACCAGCAATTCACAACATGATAACGTAGAAAGAAAATAATAACACCTCGTAGGAATTTATAATTAGTCTCTTTTCTCTCTCTCTCTCTCTCTCTCTCTCTCACACACACACACATACACACACACACACACACACTTATTTAATATTTTTTCAATATTTTACTTTAATATTTTTAGCATGATTTAGAATCTGAAAATGATTTAACTAGTAAATAAACAATATGCTTGAAAGACGATTATACGCGTTATGATCGACTGAATATGGCAATAAAAGCAATGGCTCTTTTCTTTTATATTCATGAAATCTAATCTTCATATGACCTGCATCGACGTTTATTCATGTCGCTTTAATCTCTTCTTTTTACAAGAGTTACATAATAAAAATTCTTTCGATGAACGAGTGAGAAAACTAATTGGTTAATATCTAAGCAAGCAGAATAAAAAATTATCTCGAGGGCACACCGTTATTTCCGT